TGTAGATTCGTCGAGCGCTATAGAAAAATACTCAAAACTTCTCGATTTCGTAGCTAATTGCTCTTCTATATTATCTGCTAATGCGGTAATTCTTCTTTGAACAGTCATCCGATTTAACTGAATTTTTTCAAACTTCTTTACATTTTCCGGACAAATTTTTTTTGCGGCGATATCCAAACATTGCTTAACAAACTCACCATCTTTAAAAGGCCGACAAGTTTTCGCTATTATTCGAGATATTTCAAAGCTAACTTCAGTGGCTGTTTCAGCATCTTGAATTGGTTTTGTAAACATAGATTGCTGGCCTATTAGTTCCCGTTGTAAAGTGGAAATTCTTTGCGTTCGATTTTCGCCAGTTAATTTGGTAAAAGTTGGATGCTGGGTTTCATAGTGCCTTTTCACATTATATTCCTTCGGAATAGAAACACTACTCTTGCATATTAAACAGACAATTTTGTTATGCGATGAAATAAAAAAGTATTTTTCGGTCCAAATATCATGAAACTGTCGATTTTCATCTTCAACCTTACGACTACGTTTCTTACTGGGGCCTGGTTTATCCATATCAAAATTAATATTATATGTTACAGTCGGTAAAAGCCAAGTTCGAACGACGAAATATTTACTCGTCACAGATTACAGTTCTCAAACAGTATAACGTTCGCTTATCCGTAGTCAAAACTTAACTGCCCCGGTAGCCGGCGATGCGTCGTATTTATACGAGTTACCAAACATCGAGAACCATCCACTTTGTTCGGGGATCGACGTGTTTCGCGAATCTGTAATCTAGTTGATGCGACAGATTTCTAGTCTCGTAATAATATGCTTGGACCGGAGCGCGGCGAGTAGAATACTTTTAAAAATTTTTTGGCGGGCCGCATAAACATCGATAGCGGGCCGCGGTATGTGCATTCCTGTTTAGAGGTTATGAAAAATCCTGAGGTGATGGAGTTAAATGGACCTCGGATTCGGATTCAGCGACCCGAAAAACGTCTAATAAACATAGTCTGACCTCTGGGCCCGAAGGTCGATTTTTGTGCGGCTGTGTTATATTTTTCCTAAAGTTCTTGAGAGTCATTTGAACAATACTTCCATCACCCTGTAATCTAAACAATATTTTGCCTCCAAAGAGTAAAGTTCAAATAATAATCAGAAACGTCAGAGAAACGATGCGTATGCTAAACATATTTAAAAGCTTCATTTATGTTAAAAAAATCTGTTATAAAACTATAAAAATTCACTAAACATTTCTAAATAAATTCCTAATGGTAATTCTCTATAATCGCAGTTGGCCATGGTTTTGGGTGAGACGAATTTTCACAAGATCACCAACAAAAAAAATCCCTAAAATCGATCAAATAATAATGTTACGAGAATCTTAAGTGGAACACACTGTATATTCCTTAACAAATACAAGATGTTTTGTTTCATGTCTTAACAGTTAAGAAGATGAAGAAGTTTCAACTAAAAGAATATCTCCATTACAATCTGGTGGTAATGAAATATCTTGGGCTTTGGCCCAAAAAAGATTTCACCTCCGACAAGTCGTATTTGATCTACACAATCATTGTCAATGGATTTTTCAATTTTACAATGAGCGTAGGCCTCACAGGGTACATTTTAACATCATCAAATCTTCTAGAAGATGTTATTGGTGCGGGATATATCAATCTCGGCATAATGGCCACTGCCAAAACATTTTTTATCATGAAATACAGTAAAATGTTCAAGCTATTAGTAGATGCTGAGATCCATAGAAGTGTGAACGTAGAACTCAACGAGGAACAGACAAAAATTCTATGCGACTACGTGGGCTTTTGGAAAAAAGTACATCTTATTTATAGTTATCTCTCTGTGCTTGTTTTTTTTAACTACGTTACGTTACCGATTTTTAGCAAAACGCCCTATACCTTACCTTTGAATTGTTGGTACCCTTTCGACTATAAGAGACCTGTAGTCTATGAAATCGTCTATTTTCATCAGAGTGTAAGTGCCCTAATTGATATTTTTGTGAACCTAAATGGTGCAACATTGGCTGCCGGTTTCTTAGCGTATTTATCTGCTGAATGCGATGTATTGGTTGACTTGTTAAAAAATTTAAACAACGGATCTGCGATGAACGAAATCAATTTAGATACGGAGATGCTCAAGATATGTGTTCAGTACCATAAAAAAATCGTGGAGTAAGCATCTAATTTTATTAATGTTAAATAATAATCGGTTTTATATAAACAAGGAAGTCACTCTAAATACTTTCATGGTTTTTTTAGGTACTCCAAACTCGTTGAATCGTACTTCAGTAAATACTTATTAATTCAGTTCACATCATCGTGTGTGTCAACTGCTCTAATTATGACTAGTATGAGTATGGTAAGTATACTATATATTTTGAAATTTTGATTTGAACTAAATTAGATCATTAATTTTAATTCAATTTTCGACTGAAAATCACGAAATAAATTATAATTATTGGACTACTTATAAATGAAAATCAGTCAAGAACTAGCTAGTACAACAAACTATTTCTTAATTCTTAGAATCATGATGTTAACGCTGACTTTTGGTTCCTGAGTGTTTTACAGCTAGGGGTGTGGGCAGATTTATACATTTATTGTTGGTATGGAAACGAAGTTACTGAAAAGGTAAGTATTTTAAATATACGCATATTTTTTATTTACAAGAATACATATCATATACAGGGTGTCCCAAAAGTGACGCTCGTTTTCATTAAGGGGACAGAAACAAATCGAAAATCAAGAGTGGAAAATTTTCCGATTGTTTTTCTTGTTATTCAAAAAAATAATAATAAACATTTGGACTGGATTATTAAATAATTATATATTGTAGCTGTATGTTTTTAATTGAAAACTTATCATTGCCATTGCTGGAGGACGTTCCGTTAGCAGTTAGACTAAATTATTAAATATTTAATCGTTCTAATCTTTGTTTTGAAGTAGAAGGCAACTTATTTGAACACCTTTTGTAAAAACAATTTCTATTATTTAAACATTGTGGTTTTATTTTATAAGTTTTATTATTTTACATATTTTATAAAATAATTATATTATTAAAACGTTTTTCTCTATCCTTTTCAAATTAAAATAATTCCTTACATCTGGGTACAACCGAAAATCGGAAACTGTATTTACTACTATACTATTGGTCATAAATTATTTGCCTTGGTCCCCATAAGCACAGACCTCAGTTTCGACACAAAAAATAGGATGTTCACTTTTTTAGTTTTTTGAATAATATTTTGAATAACTCGACAAAGAAAAACATTCAGAAAATTTTGCACTCTTGATGTTCAATTCGTTTTTGTCTCCTTATTCAAATCCTAGAAGGACGGGCGTCACTTTTGGGATACTCTGTATATAATAATTAAACTATTTCGTATTAATTATAAAAATTTTCCTAAATTTTTTCCATATCTAGGTATGCATTAATGAAAAAGAAACACATATCTGATATGTCAAAATTATAAAGAAA